GTTGCACTTCTCCCTGCCCTTACTTTAGGGAAATGTTCTTAATGGTTCCTGTACGTAATTAAGAGCTCTTTTTTTTCAATTTTTGTTAAGATTAAGATATTTAAGTTTGAATAAACATATGATGATTGAATGATTAAGACGAATTATTTCTAAGCATTTGAACGTGTATGTGATTATAGGCGATAGTAATTGTTTAATGGTGGCCGGTGGTTATGCAGTGATGGCTAGAAGTAATGGTTATACAGTGATGGTTTGATTGTGAAATAGCTGTTGGTTGGCAGAGGCAATGTCAGAATTTGAAACTTATGCGTTCTGCATTTGTTATAGAATATATAGCTCTTGATAGTAACTGGATTCGTAATTATATATTAAGATATATTTAATAAATTTTCTAGGACAAATATAATGTTTAAGAAAAAAATATCGAACCATTCCTAATAAACTAGCTCCACCTTTGGTTGTTGGTGGTGTTCAAGGATGAAGGTGAATGGTATTGTAAGGTGACTACTAATGGTGGAGGCTAGCAACAAGAGGTAATTGGTGATAAAAATGGCGGATGATGGTTTAGTTGATTGTGGTAATACTTAAAAGGCGTAATGTTTGCTAGTTGTCTCTCTTTTTATCAGTTATTTAGTAAATTACTTTATTTTTATTTTTCTTGTAATTGATGAACCTTTTAAAATTAAGTATGATTTTTTATTTTTTGAGCAAACTAAAAATTTAAAAAGGGTAATTCGGTGCACTAAGCTCCCGTTATATGCGGGGTTCGGAGAAAGCTTGAACCACAAAAAGTCTATTATATGCAGTCTTACCCTTTTTTTTTTTTATAATAGACTATTTGTACGGTTCGAATACGTAACCAGGGGCGAAGGTACATATCCCTAAGGGTGGTCAACTGACCACCCTTCGTCGAAAAATTACAATATATATATAGGTAAAATATTAGATTTTAATAGTATATAACATATATTGAATACCCTTTATCGGAGAGTTTTTTTACTTATTTCAAGTTTGAACATCCTAAATAAAATTTCTGGCTTCGCCAATGCACGTAACCTCTTGATCACCTGACAACAACTTTACTAATTACGCCAAGGCTCCCCTTCGACAAATTGAAAATCTAATGAAAAATTATTAGACTGCAGTCTAAAATTATGTAAGTTGTCATTTTTTGAGCAAACTAAAATATATAAGTAAACATTAGAGTCGAGTCTAAAGTTGTCCGGAAAGGATAATTTTCCAATGGCTATATTTGCACAACTTTATAAACTAAGGACAAAATCTCAACAGTAGCCTAAAACAAGGGAAAAATTCAAAAATAATCAGATTTATAAGTGGTAATTGAAAAGAGATTTTTACCTATCTATACCATATATCAAACCTTATTACCAAAAATGTTCATAATCTGTTATTTACCCGTGTAGTCCACACTTTTACTACAAATTATATACCAATCCAAAAATAGATAGATTTTGCCATAAAAAACGCGCTAAAATGAAGGCACCAGATCTGCGTGTGATTCTGTCAACATTAAATTCGAATTGCTGCGTAATTCTCTCCTTCCTCAACGGAAAGAGATCTCTCTTCTCTCACTCAACTACAATTCTCAAAAAACGCAAGCTGCTGAAGCTCCAGTAATCAAACGGAAAGGAGATTTCTGTTCTTCATCTTTATCTTCATCTGTTCTTCCATATATTTTCCACCATTGATAGCCATTAAAAAGCTTGAAAGCTTTGAATTCAAATTTGGGTTTTCAAAAATCATTATTTGTTTGGATTGGGTGTTGTTGTAAATAATTCGGAATATGTTTAGGAGTTTATATCTCAATTTTGAGGGGTTTTGGTGAAGATTAGACTTGGTTTTGACTGAATTTTAGATTGAAACTCGAAGAAGAAGAAGAAGAAGAAGAAGAAGAAGAAGACGTATTTCCAGAAATTGTAGATAAATTGTAGTTAAATTGTAGAATTGTAGATATATTGTAGATAAATTGTAGATGAATTGTAGATTGGGAAGACTAAAACTTCTACAAATCTTCTACAATTATGTCGAAAATGCCAATTATGCTACAATTGAAATGAGAATTTGGATATTAAAATTCAATGTATCTATTTTGTAGATATCTTGTAGATAAATTGTAGATTATTTGTATTCTGATTGTAGATGCATTATTTTCTATTTTCACAAATCCAAAACGACTAAAGCTTCTACAAAATCTTAATGCTTAATATACTTAATTTATTCTTAAATATACTTAATGCTTGCATATTGCACCAAATTCTAATGCTTGCATACTGAACCATATTCTCACATAAAGCCAGTTTTTGCTTTCCTTCAGGCTTGAAAAGGACATCCGTTTTAACTATTTTTGGACGCGATATGCAAAATTGATCTCTGTAAGTCACAGTTATATATAATTTAAGCATAGGATCCTAAAGATAACTCTGGATATTAATTCATTACTAAGAATATGCATTTGAGATCCCTAAGCATAGGAGCATCGTGAGTTTTGTGTGTGTTGTGAACAGTTGAGATGAAAGGAAAGAGAAAGTGGGAAGATACAGTCCTATAATTATGCCTAATATAAATGAACCCTTAATTATATCCCTAATTTGAATTATGGTGTAGAAATGGTAATTTGGTATGCTTAAATGTAATAAACACAAACCTTAAACATTGAGGGTAATAAGGTTTGATATATGATATAGATAGGTAAAAATCTCAATTGAAAAATAGTCATATTTTTAAAAATAATCAAAATATAGCCACTTTTTATGTAAAGATAAATCTAAAGAAAAATACTGTTCAAAATCCGAAAAATATCTCAGCATAATATACTAGAGTTCGAATTTTTCACATGTGAACTTCAACTTAATATACTAGAGTTCCAACATAATATACTGGAATTTCAGCATAGTATATAATGCTGAAACTTTTCGTGTGCTGGAGTTCCAGCATAATATGTTGGAAGTTCATATACAAGTACACCAATCTCCAGTATATTATGCTGGAACTTTTCGTGTTGCAGCAAAATAGTGGCTATTTTTCAATGAATTTGCAACCGCTGGCTATTTTTCAATTACCAGTCTGAAAACTGACTAGCCCGTGTTGTTTTCACCAAAAAAAAAAAAAAAAAAAAAAAAAAAAAAGAACATTTGCTTAAATCGGCTAACATTAAGATGGGGGAGGTTATTTTCATAGTAGAATCTATATCTATATCTATATCTATATCTATATCTATATCTATACTATATTAAAAGCACGAAGGCCCTTAACGAAATGTCGTTCGCCTTTTTTATCCTTAAAAGACAGAATTCGCACTAGACAAAATAGTCATTTAATTATTACCCTAATATTTAGTACTTTGAAATCGACTAAAATTTTGATTATTAAATATTTACTTATTGAACTAGTAAGAAGTCCTAAAATTTAGGAATTAAATTAGAGTAAGATTACATTTATGTAAAAGTTTTCCTTAGTGGAATCATGTATAATAAATATAATTTTCTTTTTTAGTATGCGGAGTTAATATTTGAAATTTTCACTATAAAGTCGGACATGAGGCAAATTAATTTTTCCTTTGAAAGAGAAATAAGAAGAAACCAAAACAGATAAATGAAAGAATAGACGAGATGGCAAGAAAACCAAAAGAAAAAAGAGATGTGTTAAACAAGTATAGCCGTTAATAAATAATAAAAGAATGAAATTATATTTGTAAAAAGTATTTTGAATGCTGATATTTATTTTTTGCTTCATATTTTGAATTCAAATAACCACTTCACATTTAAAACAAGAAAAACATTTAAAAAATACAATGTCGCTCATTATACTATCTTAATTTTTTCCATCACACATTATTGTCTTAATTTCTTTCAGTATTACGAGTATTTCATTTTCGATGTTTGGTTATAAGTAGGAGTTGGGTTAAACATTACAGTTATTTTAAAATTTTAATGAACTAAACATTTATTAAAAACAACTTTGAATTTAACTACAAAATTATTACTTTTATTGTTAGTGGAATTTTGACCATCTTAATTACTATTAAAAAACTATTTCTTTATATGAGGAGACTATTTTTTTATATACTCCAGTCGAAAAACATGAATAAACTCATAGTAATAACAAATAATATAGCACTGAGTTTGCATTAAAATAGGAGATCTTGAACTTTGAGTTATTCCAATTAAATTTAAACATATTAAGCCTTCATCGGAATATGTAAAATTAGGATAGATTTCAAGTTTATTACTTATTTTAGAATACATCAAAGTAAAAAAATTTAACAGTTAACAATTCTTAATTTTTTAAATAAAAGAAGTAGCATTATGTTTGAGTAGAAATAAAAAAAAAATGAACTTTGAGGTCACCTTTTTTAGTGATTGCCATTGGCTCACTTCAAATTATTGCTATAGTGAAAACAATAATTTATGATAAAATTTGGAGTCCAAAAATTTCTTGTAGCCGGATTTAAATACATTATTCAACTGCAGTAAAGAATGAGTTATGGTTAGATACACAATTCATATTAAATAAAATATTGTTTAAATGAGTAAAAGTATTTTCTAATTATATTTTTTTTTTCTAATTTTGTTGGTCTTTGTTACTTGCAAAACTATAGGATATGAGAAATTATGATTCTTTCTTAATTTAATATAAGTATTTAATTCTAAGTCTTTATATTTAGTTAGTTTTGGTGGAATATTGGTTCAACGTTAGTTAATCTTTAGACTATAAATTGTTACAAATAATTTTCTTACTTCCCTTTAGTTACAAATTTTATCATCTTTTAGAAGTTATAAAAGAAAATGCAACCTATTTCGTGCTCTAACTGACCAAAAGTTTCAATTCCAATTTATTTTAATCACATTTTCAATTTATAACTCAAACACAATTTTTAATATTAATATTTAGGCAATTTTTAAAAATAATTTACTCACTTGAGCTAAAGGATACGCGCCCTAAGACTATACTATATCAATATTGGAGTTATCACTTTCATAAGTTAGTCAGAGTCCCCCACCACTCTATAATATATTTCGTCCGAGGGAATTTCGCTATACAGCCAAAACCCAGGAGGGATTCACCATTCTTCACCTAGCAGCATGCGCACAATAGCAGCGCGACTCACCCCTGTAAGTTCTTAACTTGGAATTTTATCAATTTACATTTTTTTAATCTTGCAATGTTCATTGTTTTCCTTTGTTGATGGAATTTTGTAATGATGTTAATGCAGTATCTATGGAGGAGAAAGCCTATAAATTTACAGCCCCGGAATTTTTCTACTTCCGGCTTTGGTAACATTTATTTTTAACTTTCGAATGGATTTTAGGGCTATGCCACAAATTTTCTATATTGCCACTTCTTTAATGAGTTATTTTTTCAAGAGATTTTGTAGGTTTTTATTCACCAAGTATAGAAATAAGCTGTGCAGTTAAGTAAAGCTACTAAGAAAAACTGATTTATTCTGAAAATTGGGGATCTTGTTACTTCCCCGGTGTTTTCCTAGCTGTTCTTAGTTTACTTTTTGGATTTCAATTTGTCAAAGAACAAAGAAGATAAATGACTATTCTTTTTGCGGATCTCAGAATTGCCTCAGGCTAATATGAAACATAATGAGAAGCCCGAAACCTTTCTATAGGTACATTGGATCAAACATGAAACAATGTTCTTTTCTAGCTTTTCGTTATGCAAAGTCTGGTTATGGTTACAGTTCGTGTGTTCGTACCACTGGAATGCTTTAAGATCTATAGTTTGATTGATTTTGTAGATGAACGGTCAATAGAACAAGAAGCTGAAAAGAAAGTAGGGTGGCTCTTAAAGTTAATTTTTGCTGGGACTGCTACAGTTATTGGGTATCAGATTTTCCCATACATGGGTAAGGTCTCATTTCTATGGTTGAATGAATCAATTGCACCATGATCTCTTGCCTTGTCTGATTTGTCTTTGGCATATTAATGTCTGATTTTCATAGGAGACAATTTGATGCAGCAGTCTGTCTCACTTTTACAAGTCAAGGATCCCTTATTTAAAAGAATGGGTGCATCCAGATTAGCTCGTTTTGCTGTAGATGGTAAGCTTGTGTCACAGTATTTTGGCAATTGAGCAGTTATTCATTCCCAATTCTTTAATTGGTTGAAGTATATGCTGGCAATTTGGTGCACATTATAAGGAATTTGATGTTCTTAGTAATTGGTGCATATATGTCTTTGATTTAAGAATGGTAAGGACTAAGGAGCAATAACTTTAAGCTTTAAGGTTGATGAAAAGTAGTAAAGATAATCTATAATTGGTATGTGAAAGCCAAAATAGCTATTATGTGAGGTAGGAAGGTTGCACCCTTTTTGTGTTGTTAGAGGCTCATTTAAATTTAACTGATGTTGATGGTGTTAACCTCCACAGCATCCTCTTATATGAAAATAATCAACATGCTGGACAACAATTCTGTGGAGTCGAGTCCCTTGCATCTGGATGCTTTCCCCAATCTTTGTGATTTATTTACTGCATCACCTTCCTGTGAAACTTAAAGCTAATGCAACTCCCTACTGATTAATTGTACAAAATTAGGAAATTCCTTTCATTGTCCCAAAATAAGATTGACACTACTCTAGTACCTTAGATGTAGTACCCTAGTCAACCGGTGTAAGGTATTTGATTACTGTTCCTTTTCCTGGTACTATGACGAAGGCAGCTGTGTTTCTTAAACAGCATTTGCTTGTCTTTAAAGATCTAATACATTATACAACTTAAGAGGATCTACGTGCTGCTTTATTTCTATATGATATCTTGTAACCGACTAGCGATGTAGGTTACAGTTTATGCTTAAAGTGCAATATTTGAAGTTTGTAGTCAAAGCATATTCAACAGCTGTTTTGGACTTAACTTGAGATTTTATAAGATGCTTATAACTGAATCTTCTATCCCTGTGCTTTGTTGCTTCCTAGATGAAAGAAGGATGAAGATAGTCGAAATTGGTGGGACTCAACATCTTCTGAACATGTTAGAGGCTGCTAGAGATGATCGCACGAGGAAGGAAGCCTTGAAGGCTCTTTTTGCGATATCTAAATCAGGTCAGGCTCCAAATTTATCTGCAATTTGCATCATGCTGTCTGTACTCATGGATGCTCGAGCTAGTTTTTTGTTGAATTTGGGAATAAACTGGTATTTGTTGGAATGCTCAAGCTGCTATTTTGAAAATTTTAAGTATAAGCCAGGACTTAATATTATCCAAACTTTCCCTTTACAGTAATAATACACACAAGTCAATTGAATGAGCTTTGAACCGTTACAAAACTATTACCATTGTTATTTACACCACTTAAGTATCTGTTAACTTGGTTCCCCGAAGTGGATATCTTTCGGGAAAGCAATATCACCATTTTGGGAAAGCGATATCTTTAGCTACCCAGATGAGAGCATTTGCCTCTTTTCCCAGGGCACTTATCTGCAAACCCAACCAATAGCCAACAAATAATGTGGCAAATACATTCTTTATCCTCTGAACATAAACTTAGTTCTCCTTCTTTATTAAGTGAAGTGACTAATTATGCTTACATTCACTGGTCCCAGGTCATAATATGGGGAAAGTGTCTGAATGATCTAAAAGATCACTATTTTGTTTTATGAGTAAAAATATCACTATTGATGCAAACTTTGTTTTTTTTTGTTTGTATTAAGTGAAGATTTTATTGATGTATAGGTAAAATGCTTCGGTATACAAAAGATAGACAAAAGTAGAGAACTGTACACAAAAATATGATCCTCTACAGAAAGCACCGAATAATCTATACTATCTTGAACTTCATGCGTGCTCCAAAAATTAACAAAGAACAATATGCTTGCACTCATCTCATCTATAGAAAATTGTTTTGCACTGCTTAAAAAACTCTCCTATTTCTTTCCCTTCAAAGGACCATCATTGTCGCTAGAGGAGCCACATCTCATGCTCTACTTCTTTTCTTCTTCTAAATATCATGTCCTTCACCGTGGCTGGCATTGCCTACTCTGTGCTAAATACATCAATCGTCGTCCACCATAGCTGACTTACAGCCTAGCAGTGTAGCAGCAAGTGGTCTACATTCTATCCCAATCTCTCGCACATTAAACACCAGTAGATATAAGTTGTCCTCTTCTTCCTCAGATTATCTGATACGGAATCCCTCTTTGCTACCAGCCAAATGAAAAGCATATCTTCTTTGGTGCCAAGGGATCCAAATTGATAAGCATGAATACTCGGCTCCTCTCTGCAGAACAAGCTCCTTTTTGAAAGCGCCTTTCCTCTTTCTGGACCACAACCAGAACTTCTTGTTCTGTTTGAGTAATGTTTCTGGAGAGTAGAGCCATGAAAATTCGGAGCTTGCTCATCTCATATCTTGTAGATTTCTTCTGAACCTTATTTCTCATATCATTCGACTACCTTTTAGTCGTAAGAGTTATGCTACTTTTTCCATTTCCGAGCGGCAGATCTTGAACATGGTGGAAAACATACTCCGATACTCATCTACATTCCGTTTATGCTCCAGAAAACTTATTCTGCTCTCTTGTCCCACCTTAATCTAATGTACATTGAATCCTCCCACACCTCCATTATGTTCCTTTCTTCCCTTATAATCCGCATCCATATGGTACTGCGATGTTGTGTCCTCCACCCTCCTTGCATTCCGTACTTGTCAACTATGATTGCCCTCCAAAGTGTCCTTCAAAGGTCCAAAGTGCTTGTTCCTCATTGCCAAACCTCCATAACCATTTCACCGCCAATGTTCTACTCCCTCCATTTAAAAAAGAATGAACCTATTTCCTTTTCAGTCAGTTTAAGAAAGAATTACCCCTTTCTAAGTTTGGAAACAATGGAACTTTAAACTTCTCATTGTACCCTAAATAAAATGATTTATAGCCACTTAAATATCTATGAATTGTTTTGGATCATAATTTCCAAAATTCTTCTAGTCTTTCTTAAACACCGTACCCAATCAAATATGTTCATTCTTTTTGAAACGAGGGGAGTATGTAGCACCTTCAAATCCTTCGCCCCATCCCATAGCGAGTGACTGATTGGAGATGTGACCACCTTCCCACTGACTAGATGTAACATTTTTTTGAAATGTAACTAGATGGAACTTTTTGTCCTGTTAGTATTCCACATGAAACTCCTTTGCATCCTCTTTATTTTCTCCATGACTGCTGCAGGAGTATGCATGAGAGACATAGAGTATGTTGGGATGCTTGATAAGATGCTCTTAGTCAGTACCTTTTCCTTCTCGTTTGGCAAGTAGCTTGTTTGCCACCCATTAGTCTTTTTTCCACCCTCTCATGTACTGGATTCCATATTGCCGGGGCCTTTTTTGATGCTCCAAGCGGTAGGACAAGATAGGTTGTTAGTAATGCTCCAATGTTGCCTATTCTTAACGCAGGGATGATCTTGCGATGTCCTGTTGATCTTAAAGTTTGATACTGTTAAAAAGCTTAGCAAAACTTGTCTCTTTGTACCTATGTTTCTTTGTACTTTCTGCCCTCTTCTTTGGTTGGGAATCCCCTTAAGTATCATCCTTCTACAGTTGTGTCCATCATCTTACTCAATGCCTTCATGACTAATATAAACAACGTAGAGGAAAGCAGGTTCCCCATCGTAGGCTGCTGGAGCTTGGAAGAAACCATTTGTTGCTGTTAACCAGCACGGGAAATCTAATTTATCCACCTTCTCTAGTAGTCTAGTTTCCCCAAATCTATTATTTGTATCACATGGTCCAAGAAGTCTCAATTCATGTGACTTTGCCAGATCTAGCATAAGATGCCTTGTGGCTCTTTTTCCTACTGGAGTCTACCGATTCATTTTCCATGAGCACAACATCCAAAATTTATTTGTCTCATGTAGTACCTTCTTTAGTTAATTGACAAGCACCTTTTTCACTATCTTATGGAACTTCGTACTAGACTAACAACATTATACTCCCTGATAATTTGTGTTTCCTCATTCATCGGTATGATGGCTAAGAAAGAGGCATTGAGGCTCCTTTCGAACTTTTCGGATGCTCCTGGAATTGCTTTGGTCATCTCCATCGCCTCTCCTTTACTGTGTTCCAGCATTGTTGAACGAAAGCTGTGGTTAGTCTATCCATTAGCGACCCTTATGACTCCCCAAAGCCAAGGATTTTTCCCCTGCCCACTCTGCTTCTTCCTCTTACTCTATGAATTTCTACCGCATAAGTACCCTATCCTTATCCCTGATGCTCCCTTTACCCTTACTTTTAACATACCCTTACTTTTGGCACAGTATTGGTCCCCATCCCCCTTTTGTTCGCCAGCACTAAGTCCTAATAGCCCAGCCACCTGCTTCCCCTGCTTCAAATCCCCTCCTTCACCAACACCCATTGTCCCTGCTCACTCCCTTTCTTCCTCCTTGCTTTCAATGTTTGAGCAGGTTGAGCAAAGGAGACCTTGCCGGACGCAGCCTTCTGACCATCCTTCCAAACTGGAGTCATGAGGATTCCCCCTTGATTCTGCAAACGGGATCTCCTCCCTTTGTCCGTGTCCTGCTGGTCATGTTTTGCTGCTGAATCACTGCTCTGTGGATGCACCTTATGTGGACGTATGGAAACATGGAGCATTGTTAGGATATCAGGGAAACCAACAACTACAAAAAGTTCTCCACGTTTCTGAGAATTTGACCACCTTTTAGCTGCATTTTACTTCTATCATTAATTTCTGAAACACAATCTCAGTATCCTTGCTGCTGCTGTTCAACTTCTTGTGCGTTCCTTGAAGGCAAATGCAATATGCTGTGCATGGATGATCTCATGGAGCCATATTTCATTACTATATGTTGACTTTTTATATGCGGAAAATCCTAGTCTCCTCTATGTGAAGCAGAGAGTTTAATATATACCAAGAAGCTGCATTGAGAAGTGTTGATTGATTGTCCCATCTTGGTAGTTACTCAGAGAAGTAAATGATTTTTACCAGCTGATCACTCCATTTTCCTGTCTTTTGGATAAGACTGTATATAACACGAGTGAAGGATACACGTGGACGACTTCCTGTTTATGTCAAATCACCAGTTGGGTGCTATCTTCCTGAATCTAGCCACAGAACTTCTATAGACAAAATTCATCGAGCTGTCAGAGAATAGCACCCTAATTCTTCACGCTCTAAAGAAATGTTAATGAGAGGAGTCTGCTTATTGGTTGAACCTCTTGGCAGTTCTTCTACCTATTGGCTAGACCAAAGAATTCTGTGATTGAGTAATTGCTGGACACTTCCAAAATGATACACTTCCAAAATGATATACTTCCATGCTATAGACTAAATAAATGCGGAACAAAAGTTGACTCTAAATGTGCTGGCTTGGAAGCTCTAATTATAACCACCAAACCTTTAAAACACGGTCACTTTAATTGCATGGTTTGCAGTAGAAGCCCGGTTAGCGCCAGTACTTACGAAATCAACCCCAGGCTAAAGGAATTCTCAGCTTTAAAAGGAAACTCTGTGGTGCTTGTGATCTTTTAGACGTGTTTATGGCAAAAAAACGCCGTACAATTTGGGCCAGTTTTTCTTTATATATAACTTTGAATGTGAGGAGACGTCTTATTTTATTTATGTGGCCCTTGCTAGCTTATGCTATTTTGCCTGATGAAGCTAGTCGGATATTAAGACCAATTTAGACCAATTGCTGAGGCACTTCTGATCTATGCTTGTATGTCTGTTAGAATGGATGTATTATGTAGTGCTCATTCTTATACTGCAGATGAGGCTGCTATGGTCTTACATCAAGCTGGAGCGGCATCAATCATCAGGTCGACCCCCGAGTCTCCTGAGGATGCTGAAGTCGGGACATACAAGTCAAATTTGTTGAGTAGATTTCAAGATTTATCACATGATATAAGGTCTTGAGATTCCTATCATTCTCTTAAAACTTGGCAATAACGTTTTACATAGATGTTTTATTAGATCGCTTACCTATAAGAATTTTTTTTCCTGAACAAAATTAAGAGAATCCTTTCATGGTTGTTACATGTAATTCGTGTTACATGTCCTCTTCTAGAGATCCGTGGTTATGCCTCCACACCTTCTGAAGTAAAAGGTCCCTTGTTTAATGGGATCTTAAGCATTGCTAGTGGCGGAATTCTGCTATGATGGTGTAAACTCTTCAAGGGGCATTAGGATAGAAAAATAATCCGGATATCATGCAAAGTTGCCATAGCACACAAGATCCTGTTTTGCCAGTGAATGTTCATGGTTCTATGACATGCGAATAACGGACAAGCACTGAAGTTATGTCCATTTGGACCTTTTAGTTCCTAAATAGATTGATGAATTTCGAATTGTATTCAAGAGCTAATCCAGCCCCTAATTGACCTGAATTAAGCTCAGCCATCCTCACAATCAAAGTTAGAAGATGCACTTGGCAAGACTACACGGTTTGCCTTTCTCTTCAATGTCATTGTGCACATGATAACTTTAGCAAAATTTGTGTGATCTTGATCTTAGCGAGATTTAAATGGCCGGAATTCTGTACCACTGAGCATGAAACAAATGGGGGCCATTAGATTTGATTTCAGATGTCTGGACAAGTATCAATAGGACATATATGCTTTGGATTCTTTGTTCGACGGTCCAGCAATGCAAATGAGTATTTGTCTATAACCATGTTATCTGGTGCTCGATCAATTTGTTCCTTCAGTAAATTTGGCTACATGTCGTAGGGAGTGGGGAACATACATATTCCTAGTGTCTTGTGAAATAATGATTCATATTCATTTCAAGAACCGGGACCTTATGACCCAAATATTCCCGGAAAGGGTGATCAATCTTGTGTATGAAACAAAATTTTAAAAAGTTACACGCATTTGTACATGGGAGGAAGCAATGGTCCTCACACTACAGCCTGTGTCATCCAAGATTGGGTAGGAAACTCCAATGGTTCCTGCGATGCCAATAGTTAATTTGTTATACGATCTCAAAATAGTATTCTGTTAGAAGAGTACAAAAAACCTATAGCTGTATAGAGTTTGTGGCTTATATGGGATGCAAAGATTAAAATTAAGAGATTTTGCGGGGAGAATATACCTGCACGTCCACCTATTAAAAGGCTATAAGCAACAGGGACATTATTCAAGTATGTATTATACCAGAAGGCAGAGACTAGAGGAAGCATTTTCTGGAAGGAAAAAAAAAATTGCATTCAACTAATTTTCAATGTTGAGGAAAGGTTGTTATTAACTTAGCTCACTAGTTCAAAGAGACTCTTTTGTCATGTGGTGTATATAGAAATAGGCCCCCCACCATTCCCGTACATTCTCTCTTTATCACTCAACTTTTGCAATTTAAATACAGATTTGCTTTGTTTTAGTCACATTTGCATGTGAATGTACTTTCCCGAAGTGATACTCTCCACAACTCACGTGAGGGCTTTGCCTGAGAATCCTACAATTTGTATTCTCAGGGATAACTTTAAGTTTGGCTTCCCTAATTTGTAGTAAATTACGTTTTGTTTCGTCACATTATATTATATGTTCTCTTTTTTCGTTTTTCAAGCTTTTTTTATTTGAAATTTTAAATAAAAGATCAGTTCTTGGTGTTGTTTCATGTCCATTAGACTGATAGGATTCGATAACTATTTTTCCATTTCATACGTCTGTTTAGGAGGCATCAATTCAAACTCGGCATCCTCTAATTCTTGGTCGTTTCTTGTCCTAAACGTAAGCTGACTATTTGCTACATGCTGTGGCAATTCCTGTGTCAATACGGAAACGGCACCAAGAGTTGCATCTTTGAGTTTGAGATAAATCAACAAGCAGTCCATAAGACACAGGATGACACACGATTTTTAACATATTGGTTAGTGCGGAGAGGAGTAGATATAGCGATATACGTCTCCTTCATATACATTTCAGCCTTTTAGTGATTAAACAAAATTCTTCCGAGATTTCAAATACAAATAAATCTTTTCTCCTTACATTACACTTTTTGCAGTGACATATACACATGAGTTTGCACAAGCAATGCTAGCCTTTTGTCACAATTCATTTCGTAAATAGGTATGGGTTTGAGACGTTATATTACTTCCTGTCTCAAATTGATATTTACTACTCCCTCCTTATGTGGCGATATTCGAAATTCAAGAGTTAAACGAATTATTTTTACCGCGATTTTTTCACACATCTTTTAAATATTTTGAATAATAATTATTGTGATTTATTGTACTTTTTACATAGTTTTCAAAATATATTTTATTTTTTAAAGATTTTATGTCAGGATTCATTGTCAAAGTTAACTCGTTTGACTCTAAAATTCGCAAACAACCACATAAATTAGGACGAAGGGGGTAGTTGATATTATTTTTAGGCTACGTCAGGATATCGCGTGTATACATATTTGTTTTTAAAAACAATATTATTTACATACATATATAAGAAAAATATTTTGCGAAACGGTGTCTAATAATGACACCCCGTAGTAAAGAGTGTCTCCGCCACTGCCATGGTTCATATGACGCGTAGGCTAGCTAGTGGTGATTACATGACAAAATTACTAGGAGGAAAGATAAGAGATATACACTATTTATTAGTTTAGCTAATAATTAACAAAAGGGTTAGAGAGGGAACAAAATAAGCAGAGAAATGAGGAAGAGACAAGGTTGAAGCAGGAGAAATGTATGGAGAGAATTGTATTGTAGTAATGATAAAAGGGGAACATGTGAAGAGGTTGGGTACGTGCATTTGTCCTTGAGGAATGGAGACAATCTTTGAAGCAAGAACCTTATGCCAACTTCCTTATTAATGAACTGTTCCTATTTGCAATACTGATAACATCTCGTGACACCATTCTGTGGAGATATATTGGATACTAGCTACCTCCCCCTACTCCTCCTACTATATATCTTCCCCCCCTCCCCCCCCTCTATATATATTATCTTTTATTAATTAAATCCAAACGAAGTTCATGGGCCGTTTTCCTGTTTTCTTGATTCCTGTTGTCTCGATGTTTTCAGTTTATTTTGAATTTTTAGATCTACTTAGCTCGATTGTTTCACCTATTTATAGTTCGTGAACAATTTGTTACCCTATTGACTCAACAAATCATGTTATTATACACGGCATTACTGTTTTTGGCTTTGCACAGGAGATAATGACAAGGCATCAAGGCTCAAATTAAATGTTTTCTGTTATGAGGAGAGAGGTAATTTTGGTGCATTCGTGGGAGCCTATAGTAAGAAGAATAATATGTTAAGGTTACGAAGTCACTAAGCTGTATACAAAAAAAAGTTGATATGAAGTTACGTCAGCTCTGGGTATAATGATCAATTTTCTTGGTTCTCCATTTGAGAAATGATCAGATTGAAATGTGGTGGGGGATAATATGACATGGCAAAGAACTAAAAACAGAATTAAATGTGTATATAGTATTCCAATATGATCACGAGATGTCGTGATACTGCTAATTGTAGTGTGTACGGTAGAAAGGTAAAAAGGCAAATTAATCATGCATTAGGCATATTATTCAATACTATAAATTTCAAATAATGATAAGAGTTGAGACAGAGATATTTATTTGGAAAAAAAAGGGGAAAAAATAGTGATTGAGGAAGAAAGGCACGTGTAGAAAGAGAGGAAAAGAGGAGGACTGAGGAGTGAAGACAAAGGTGACGGCTGGAGAAAAGGGGGAACTCCAAATTCCCCGTGAAAACTATTTGGATTCATCCAAAATTCACAAAAATATAAACATCTACCCTTTTTCTTTTCATGCTTTATTACTTTCCATACATATTTTATAAACTATATATGCATGGTTTATCCACCCTTCCAATCCTTTATGTCTTTAACCATTCTACATATCCTAACCCCCACTCTCCATCTCACTGCTAGATGGCTTTTCCAAAGTTTTACTTCTACTAGACAATCAATTATATTATCATTTTCACCTCCTTTTCTATGGTATTTTAAGTACATACGTTTACAGTATAAAAATAATTTGTATTAGTTTAACTGCGTAAAAGATCTCCTATAGTCTTTTATAGGCAATAAATCTATATATACTTGCTATAAATAGTTACATCTAACTGATTATAAATGACCTGAGAGTGCATGTTTACATTTTTAGTGTATAAAGTTAAGCTGATATTAAACGTTCTTACTCTGAATTTTTGGCTTTTAATCAGCATTTTCTAAACTAGGAATATTAATCAATGACATCACAATGCAACAAAAACAAAAGGATTTCTATGTTACTGTTTGAAAAGCTAGAATCAAAGGCTTCGTTTACTGGCAAATGTAATACAAAGCGGTATGTATGATGGTCACTCGTTACGAAAAATTAACAATTGGATCATGTGATATTTAGAGAGAAAATGATCATAAAGCAACTGGACAATTATCCCCGACTTTAGTAATAATAAATTACTTTTAACCATCATAATAATCCATTTTAAAGTTTCACCATTTTATGTTGGGCAAGTCTTCGTAGTTGCCATTATCCACAACTTACATTACCCTAGAAATTGCTTAAGTCTTTATTTTGTCTTAAAAGGACAGTGAATTATTTTGTTATAGTATATGTTTCTTATCCAAAGGGCATCTTGGATAATAATATGACAATTTGAAATATTTTTTGTGTGAATAAGAAACTGCGCTCATGAGAGGCAGCCATGTGGGAAGCAAACAAAGAGCTGATATTGATTTGAGAGCTCCTTTTCCCTCTCTTTAAAGAGCAGCAGCAACTTAGGAAGAAAGAATAGAGAAAAACAAAGAGAAACAAAGAAAGAAAGGAAAAGAAAGAAGAGAAGAGAATGGTATCTAGGGAGCAGAAAAGAGCGGCAGCACTGCATGAGAAGTTGCAACTTCTTCGTTCAATCACTAAATCTCATGCTGTAATTCTCTGCATTTCTCAGCCTTCAATTTCCCCTTTTCAATGGATTCCACTACATCTCAACTATATATATTTGTTGAACAACAACATTATTTATATATGAAGTGAAAAATCACAAACAAACAAAAAAAAATTTGCCTTTGAAATTCTCGTGTCCTCTCCTTTTCACCCCACCCCTTCCTTTCTCATTTCCTTAGAAAAAGAAATACCCATTAATTTTTTTCTCTTCATACCTTCATTCTTCTACATCAATTTTTTCAGTCTTTTCTTATGAGGAAACCTGTACATCATCAGTAAATTATGCAGAGTTACTGAAACCCGATAAATTAGGCAGTTGAAGGAGATATTACCATGCATTTATTGATTCACTTCCCTCAACAACGTGAATTGTTTTTCTGATTTCTTTGGAGTCTTTTTCTGCTTCATTATTTACTCCACCTAAAAAAGAGTAAAAAGGGCAAAACGAAGAAACATAACTTGATCTTTGTTCATTCATAGACATTCTTTTTCTAATGCATATCTGTACTAAAATAGACGAGCATACAAGTACAAACGAACTTTGAGGTTTCCTTTGATCCTGTCAAGTAAATTTGCTTCTTTATTGCAACTCCCAAGTGTGACTTAATTTGATTTTTCGTGTTTTCATGGCATGCAGATTAGTGAAACCTCAATCATAGTAGATGCGTCAAAGTATATTCAAGAACTGAAACACAAAGTGGAAAGGCTGAATCATGACATTACTACTACTACTACTACTCAAAGTTCCACCAACAATACTTCTTCATGGCCTGTAATATCTCCACCATAATTCTTTACTTAGTATATACATCTAATTTTATACTCATAACCTAATTTGACATTTCCTTTGTTCAAAAGTGACATTTTCTTTCTCATTATTTTTCCATCTGTTTATTTCCTGGAATTTTTTTGCAGCAAGTTGAAGTGGAAACCCTAGAAAAAGGTTTCTTGGTAAATGTATATTCAGAAAGAAGTTGCCCTGGCTTGCTTGTTTCTATATTAGAAGTTGTTGAGGAGCTTGGCCTTAACGTGCTCGAAGCTAGGGTTTCATGCACCGACACCTTTCGTTTAGAAGCTTTTAGTGGAGAGGTGATTTTCATGTCTTCATAAATTAAAAATGTCCATATATTATAAAAAGAACTATGTAACTAATCCATTTCTCTCTATTTTTTGATGGTTTTAAGAGTTTTCTCTTTTTCNGTGAGATTAAGACACCTCCTGGTGTTTCTGTTTGTTATATACAATAATTTAAGATTCTGATCAGTGAAAACAGATGTATAAATAATAAATGCCATCATAAAAACTGGCCATTTTACCAACTTCTGACCTGACAACATTTGTTTGAGAAACGCAAAATCTTCATTTTGTAAAGTACAGTTGGGCCATTCTTGCCAGCCTAGTACCTGTGATAAATGCCAAAAGGTAATCTTACATTCAGAAAATGGAACCCTAAGCAAAAATAAAATAAAAATTTTTTAAAAGGGAAATTCCTCTTTTAGTGCATCATTTATTGACGGTCGGCGCTTTTAATTTTTTTCCTCGTGATACTCGGCTATTAAACCTTTAATTAGTAGACCGAACATAATAATCTAGAGTAATAGATTATGAACCGAATTACCACGTGTTAAAGTAAGCCAGGATTGCTATAGTATGTGGCTCCAAATTAAAGGTAACATATTTCTATAGATTGACTAAATTTCCTAAAGTTTTATCATCTTTTTGCCTAAAAGAAAAGTACCTAATTGTTCGGCACTTATCATAGTACAGTCGGCACACAATTAATGCATGGCTGAGCAGCACAAGCCTATAAGTGAAAGTTAAATGTGTTTAGTCACATATCAAAAACCAAAAATGAAATTTGCTAAAAATTGAGTGGCCAGAGGGCTAGACATGTGTCATTATCAAAGGTTAAAGTGTACTAAAATTGTTCTTTTTTTCCCTTTAAAATGCTTGGAATTGTCATGATCAAGGTTAAGGTGTACTAGATAGATATGATATGGTCGTAGTTTAAGCTCTGGAGTCATGCATAAGCTTTATCTTAAATCCAATTTGATGACACAAGTGCGCATTAGATTAAAGGGACTAAATCTTTTACAGCATTCATTACGTTTTTTCTTCTTTTTCCGTTTAACTATTCGGTTTCCAAATTGGTTCTACTGACTCGACTAATTATATATGATTCGCGTCAAGCAGGACCACTAAGGGGTGAAATATAATGTATCCCTACCTAATTGTAACAAGGAGACTGAAGAGTTACATGTAATCAATCAGATTTCAAGGAATTTCGTTTTAGTTAAAAGAAAATAAAAGAATGAGAAAAGGAGAGGATCGGAGGACTAAAATTTGTGGGGTAAATGGGAGCGAGGGCGAGAAGAAAGGAGAAAGATGCATGGAAGTATAGAAGTAGAGCGATGGTTTAGCCCTTTTTATCATTCCTTTCCTTTTCATTCAAACATGACACACTGAATTAGCTCCATCACCTTTTTCTTCTCCTCTTTTTCTACTTACTTTTTTGCTTTTATTTCCATTTCATTCAAACAAAACTAAGACCTAAAGAAAATGAAAATTGGAGTTTCAATTTGATGGTCCCGCCCGGACAATATCAGCTTGGAATATTGTTACACTCTTCACATTACTGCATTACATATATGCATATATATACACGTTTATCACTTAATCAAGATTAGTGGCGAAGCCAGAAATTTCATCTAGTGTGTTCAAACTTGAAATAAGTAAAAAAAAATCCTCAATAAAGGATGTTCAATATATGTTATATACCATTTAAATCTAATATTTTACCTATATATACAGTGTAATTTTTGGACGAAAGGTAATCAGTTGACCACCCTTAGGGCTATGTACCTTCGCTCCTGATCAAGGTTAATAAATTAAATATGCATTTCGTTTTTATTTATCACTGCTTCATGATAATTCAATGTAGTTTCACCAAGCGCAACATTTTTTTAATATTACACAATGTACTTTAGGATCTTATATTAGGAAACCAACAAGTTCCTAGATATGTCAACAAACCCACCATATTGAAAAACTTAAGAATTAATTTAGATAACTGTTCATTTAATTGCTTAAATTAAAAATAATTGGCGGATATATAATATATACACAATTATAATATGTGTATAACTGTGTATATATAATCTATGTATACTAACTAAAAAAAATAAATAATGAACCCAACGGGTTATTTGCATAAAGATCTCGTGAAACTTGGTGTCATAAGTTCCTACACCACAAGGAATTTGGGCCTGAGCAGCAAATTTCATGGGCTATGATATGGCTTGAGGCCCGATATTGACTCTAAGCCCATCGCGCACATAATATATCGCGCCGAAGTCTAAAATAAGAAGAAAAATAATAAAGAGATTTTTACCTATATATACAATATATCAAATCTTATTACCAAAAATGTTCATAATTTGTTATTTACCCATGTAGTCCACACTTTTACTACAAATTATATACCAATCCAAAAATAGGTAGATTTTGCCACTAAAAAGCCCTAAAATGAAGGCACCATATCTGATGTGATTCTGTCAACGATTTTATTCTAATTTTTAAACTGAAGGAGATCTCTCTTCCTGATGAAGGCACCAGATCTGATGAAGGCACCAGTTGCGTAATTCTCTCCTTCCTCAACAGAAAGAGATCTCTGTTGATATCAGCTACAACAAAAAACGCAATCAAATTGTACAATTACTGAAGAGAGACTATATCTGTTCTTCGTCTCAAATTGTACAAAATTGCTCTTCGTCGATATCAGTACTCAAATTGTAGAAACTATATCTGTTCTTCGTCTTTTTTCCTATCAACTACATGAAATCATGTCAAAAATCCCAATAATGCTGAAATCGAATGGTAATTGGGATAACTATGGCAGATTTAGAGATTTTGAAGTTGATGCCATTGTGGTAGATGATAATGCAAGCTACGGAATTCTCAGTTCTACAATTGCAGAACAATTATCGATTGATACATCGGATAAAATTATAGAAATCAAATACATTGTGAACGAGAATTGTCCTCCAATGGAGATTAGGAATGATATGGGGGTTCGTGCTTACATGGAAACCAAAAAGGAGAATAAAAACTTAGGTTCGTATCCTTTATGTATAAGCGTAAGAGATTTCAATATGGAATTGGCAATCAACAATGAAAGCACCAGTGCAGGTATGTTTGATTCGACATTGCAGAGAGTTATGGTGTTACTATGTTATCTACAATATTACTACAATTACCTACAATTAAACTACAAAGCTCACATAGTACTGAAAAGGATAAAGCAATGTTGCTTTCAAAATTATCTACATAGAAACTACATTTATGAATTTATTGTTTGCAGGTTCGTCTGGATCCCTAAACTTACTTGAATTTCCATCCTCACCAGCTATAGAGGAATATCAAAGTGAAATAATAACTGAATCTACGCAAACATATATTGAAGAAGGACAAGTTTATCAGGACAAGCAAACAGTAGCTGCTGCAATGAAGAATTATTCAGTGATGCACAAGTTCCAGTTCAGAGTAAAAAGATCTAGTCATAGAAGGTATGTAGTTATTTGTGGATAATATATCAGCAAAATCAGTGTATGATTGAAGATAGGTGGGTTTTATAAATTGTAGTTAAATTGTAGTCAGTTTGTAGTTAATTGTAGTTTTTCATAAATTTGTGTAAATATTGTATTTCTTTTGTAGCTACTGGTTTATATGTGTTGCTGAAAGTTGTAAATGGCATTTCAAGGCAACTTCAATTAATGATTCGGCAATGTTCAAGATAAGAAGTTTCAGCCGTCAACACACATGCTGCCTAATGGACGAAACATTCATACAACGCAAACGTACTGCAGCAGTACTTGGTAGCATGGTCGTTCCAAAGTATTGTGATCCTAAGACTGTTTACACACCAAAGGACATACAAACTGACATGTTATCCGAACATGGACTGAACCTAAGCTACATGCAAGCATGGAGAGCAAAGGAAAAAGCTTTACAGTTTTTGAGAGGGAATCCGTGTGACTCTTACAATAAATTACCCAAATATTTTTATATTGTTGAGAAGAATTATCCTTGTTCTGTTGTTAAATTGAAGAAGGCAGCAGATGATTGCTTCTTATACGCATTTGTTACTCTTTGTACATCAATAAATGGTTGGCAACATTGTAGGCCAGTAATAGTGGTTGATGGGACATTCTTAAAGTCAGCCTACAGGGGGATTATGCTGACAGCAAGC